TGTACCAGTCTAACATGTCCTGCAGTCCTCATACATGTCCTGTACCAAACTAACATGTCCTGCTGTCCTCACACATGTCCTGTACCAGTCTAACATACTTCTCTGCCACTCCAGATTTCCTCATGTAACACCACACCTCCTCCCTCGGCACTCTGTCAGATGCTTTTTCTAAATCCACAAAGACACAATGGAGCTCTTTCTGACCCTCTCTGTACTTCTCCATCAGCTTCCTCAAAGTAAAGATGGCGTCTGTGGTGCTCTTTCTCGGCATGAACCCATACTGCTGCTCACAGATAGTCACCTCTCGTCTAAGTCTTGCTTTCACAACTCTCTTTCAGATCTTCATTGTGTGACTCATCAAGTTAATTCCCCTGTAGTTGCTACAACTCTGTACATCACCCTTGTTCCTAAAAATGGGCACCTTTCAGATCAAAGTTTTTGTAACAGGCATTTCTTACGAAATTCTATTTTGTCATATTGTTGCTGTTCTTTCTGATCCCCTCACCAGGACTTTCTACAGCAAGTCAACTTGCACTAAACATTCGGTGATTGTTTTACACCGGACGTCCTTCCTGATGCCACCCGGACTCAAACCTGCAGCCTTAAGAATACTCATCTCCTTGTGTTCAGTCTGCGTTCCAAAGCTTACAAACCATGACGAATTTGAGTTTTTCAACTGGCACTATCATAAACAAAACAAACTTGTTGCCAGGTGTGGTGATGAACCATCACATTTCAACATACTAGAAATCATTTTGAAGCATTTGAGATGGAAAACATGAAAATAATAATAACTCAATAATAAAAAAATCCCCATTGGGACTCATTTTGCCTGCACAGGTCATGTGCTCAACACCTGTAAATATGACTGACTTCTGTTTGTGTTGGCTAAGGTCAGTTAGCTGTGGCAGCCATCTTGAATTGGAAAGACCCCAAAAGTTAAATAGAGCATTAACCTTCCAAGAGTTTCCCTAAAATCTATCTAGTTTGTTATGAGGCATTTTGCTAACAATGCAGAAGCATAAATACATATGCACACAGGCAAGTAAAACACAATAATCCTTTTATATTGGGGGTTTGCAATAATAACTTGGCTTCTCCTGTCACACAGTTTGAAAAGGGGCTTTGTCTGCTCTAAAACCTTCATGATATTTTCTTGTGTTCCTCAGAGAATGTTCTAAAGAACTTGCTGTTACATAATATGTTACTATAATGTAGATTTCAGTATTGAGCCCATGTGAACCCACTCTCTGTGCACATTAGGAAAGAAATGCTCTGACCTTAAACTCCTGTGCCATGGCAGAGAGTGGTTCTCCAGGAGGGATCTGGCTCAGGTTCTGGAGGTGGGCGTACAGGTTGCGGGTGGTGACCTCTGTGTTCCCACATGTTGCAGCTTCCAGCAGGGCTTCATGGATGAACATGTACTGCTCCTCTGTTTGGACCATGTAGTTTCTCTGAGCGCGCATACATGTCACATGACCGTAAACATCCACTGACTTCTCGTGCTTCAGCCTCTCCAACATGGCGTCTATGACAATGAAGCAGCCCGAACGGCCTACACCAGCGCTGTCAGGGGGCAAGATTACACCACAAAAAATAATAAGTAAAAATAACTGACTCATTTCAACCCTGGCATTGCTCATGTGTTAAACTAAAATCAGAAGAAATTTATTGGTCAGACCTTGAAAACAACATTAGGCCTGACCTTGTGATTGTAAGATGTCATGGTTTTTTTTCAGTATTTGCTACAGGATGAGGTGCAGCAGTACATCTTTCAATTAGAGTTTAGGTCTGTTTCCCAGTTGTAGACTCAGTACTAACTGCATGTGGCCCATGAAAAAAATATCTAGACTAACAAAGACCAGAAGGCGAAGTCTCTCTTCACTATTCATATTTCACATGACTGGCTCCCGCTTTTAAGAACCAAACATCTGGGGGAGGTGGGTCTCACACTGGTTGATTACTGAGGCTGTACTTGTTCTGTTCCATGGATCTGTTCAGGTTTTGTTCCTATTCTATCAAGGAACTTTGGTTGGAGGACATTTCTCTCCTGATCTGGACTTTGTTTTTATTTCCCAGTCAGGAGTCGTCCTGATCAACCACACACTTTTACTCCCTGATCTAAAATTCACATTTTTATTTAGGTCATCTCAGGCCATCATTACCTGCAGCGTCCCCTCAGTGTGGACTGAACTGGACAAAAAGGCCTTTTCTTACTTTGCTCCTGGAACACCTTGCAAAAAGAACTGCAGCTGTCCACTTTGATTTCTTTAAGAGATTTTAAACATTTGATAAGGTCATTTAAAAAAATCAAAGCTGTTCATGTTTTTAGTATTTTACCTTGTTTTATAAGGCACCTTGATTTTATTGTTTTATAGCACTACTTTTTATTTTAATTGCATTTTATTGTTGTTTATTGTTGTCTGTACCTTATCTGTTGTCTGTCTAAAACAGGTGTCTTTTGAAAATGAGTCCTTGTGACTCCGTGTGACTAACAGGTCACGCGGAGGTGTGACATGTTAAATGCATGTGTTAAATACACAGAGTGTTTCAGAAACACTCTAAAACATGTGCAATGATCTCAGATCAGTTTTGCTTCAACCCATAAAACCTGTACCTGATTTAAGAAGTAGTTTTACCTGCAGTGGACAACAATGGGTCCAGCATCTGGAGGACTGCAGACCTGGACCTTGTGAAGAAAGGCAAGTGTTGTGGAGGGAAACTCAGGCACGCCGTGATCCGGCCAGGCCAGAAACTGGAACTGCCGGACTTCTCTTTTCTCTCCAGAGCTATTCTGTCGGAGAATTTTACATTTGTCAAGCAGTTATTTAACTGCAGTGTGAGTTATTAGACAATGGTACCATCAGCTAAAACATCACTGACATATATAGAGCACAGCTTACAAAAAAACATCTGAATTATTTTGTAATTCTTAACATCACAATATAGCCAAGAATGAATGACTGATATTTGATGCATTGAGTAATGGTCTGTCTATCAGTCCGTCGGTCTCTCTGTCTGCCTATGGGCCATGGGTTCAAGTCCCACACTAGGCATCCATGTAGAGTGTCCAGTTTAAAGTTCAGTAAAGTTGTTATCAGATTCCACTCCTGTAAGGAGGCTACACATTTGTAACAACTTACAACATTTGTAACAACAACTAAGGTCCTGGAGTACATCAGGAGACCCCCCCCCCCCATGATGAACTGATGAGGGAATCTCAGGCAGAAGCAGAAACCCAATGCAGAAGAGGAGGAATAAAAGGGGCGATCATGTAAAGATAAGCCCCTGCACAGCATGTACCACCAGTAGATTGAGGAAATGGCTGATATCATCAAATCCTACCAGAGGCTAAAGAGGGCTCGACTGAAGGACAGCACGGAGGCACTACCCATGGCAGCACAAGAACAGACCTTCAGCACAAGAGCAATATAGGCACTTCCCAATAATTTATAGCATACATGCTGTGCCATAACCAAGTGGCTGGAATAATATACAGGAACATCTGTGCTGAGTATGGACTAGAGGTCACACAGTCAAAGTGGAAGATGCCACCAAGGGTGGTGGAGAATGGAAGAGCTAAGATACTGTGGGACTTCCAGATCCAGACAAATCAAAAAGTCACGGCTAACCAACCTGCCTGCTTCTGTGGATCAGTAAAGGTTAATAAATAAATAAACACATTTGAATCCTTCTTTCTAATCTAATATCATCCTGTTGCCCATCCCAACTTAGGAAAATGTAATGTCTCAGTTTATTTAAATAATTACAAAATTTTCTAAAACTTATATCTTCATCATGGGTTTCTGAGTTTCAGTGAATGTATCTTCTTGCACCAAACATCTGAGGCTTCTCTTTCAGTCTGTGCACGATGTCAGATATGATGTAAAATCTTAATAACATGATCTGAGTTTTTATCCTAGAAAATACAAAATGTCACATACTCACTCTGGATGGGATATTCTCACCTTGTAGAAGGTGAATGTTCTCATGACGTAAGTAGCCAGCTCCACAGTGTCCAGTATAGTCACCTGAATCATTCCATATGTCTCTGTACCTCGACTGGGCCAATATTGTTCACACTTAATCTGCACACAAAGCACAAGCAAATAGAAAACACTACTGTTTTGTGGACGAACTGTAGTGTGTTCTTTTTCCTCTTTTTGCTGTTCCTGTGTATGTAGAAAGACAAAAGAACTGTATCGTTCAAGAGAAAGAATGGTAAAGGACTGTACGTATATAGCACTTTTCTATCTTATCAAGATACTCAAAGCTCTTTACACTACAATCTATGCCCTCATTTACCCATTCACACAGCACTCTCCTATATATTTTACAAAGACTAATCAGTGCTTTTAGATCACTTTCATACACCGATTGGGCACATATCGTGGACATTGAGTTCAGTGTCTTGCCCAGGGACACTTCAGAATTCGACTGCTGGTGGATTCAGTTCAATTCAGTTTATTTATATAGCGCCAAATCACAACAAAATTGTCTCAGGGCACTTTACAGGAACATTCAAATACATAGAAAAGCCATTAGTAAAGTTCTCTATCTAAGGAAGCAGCAGACAAGTTGAATCTTCACTGTGTCACAGTCTCCCATCCTGAGCAAGCACAATGGCAACAGTGGACCGGAAAAACTCCCTTAAAAAAAGACTCCTCCAGCAGAACCAGGCTCAGGACAAGTGGCCATCTGCTTTGAATTGAGCCCCCAACTCTCCCATTGGAGGAAGACTGCTTTAACCACTCAGTCACAGCTGCCCAAAGACCAAATGTCACATACCCAGTCTGGATGGGATGTTCTCACCTTGAAGAAGGTGAATGTTCTCATGACGTAAGTAGCCAGCTCCACAATGTCCAGTATAGTCACCTGAATCATTCCATATATCTTAGAATCTGAAAATAATTTATCAAAACTATGTTTCAAAGTCATCAAAGTTCATGCTCAATAATCCAAGTAAAGATAGCCAACAATGTTCAGTCAGGTCATCCATGTCCAGGTCATCTGGACAGTACCTTATTTTGTTGAGAGATGTTTCGTCGTCCATCGAAGGGCGTCATCAATCTAAGAAGTCACATACAAACTGTTTTCCCTACCAATAAGTACACTTCTACAGTGGACCAACCAGTTTGCTGGTGATAAGATGGTTTCTGGTGGCTGTCCTCTCCCCTGCCAACCACAGCCAAAGTGGTTCAAGACATCAAAGTTCATGCTCAATAATCTGGATGCATATAATAATCTGTGGTTGCCTGGGAGAAGTCGACGGGAGACAGGACAGCCCCCAGAAAGCATATTATCATTAGCAAACTGGTTGGTCCACTAAAGGAGTGCACTGCTTAGTGGGGAAAACAGTTTACTTGGGACTCCTCAGACTGATGAAGCCCTCCGGATAGAGTGTGAAATGTCTTTCCACAAAAAAGAAACTGTCCAGATTAATGTCCAGTCTAATTATTTTAGCCTTTACACTAGCTACTGTTTACATACTTTTTAGTTTTAACTTGTGGTCTGCTTCTTTTAACCTTTAAAGCAGTCCTTCTCAAATAGTGGGGCGCACCCCCCTAGGGGGGTCCCAGGGCAATGACCGAGGGGGGGGTGGGGTGGGGGGGTGCATGTGACCCAGGGAACATGCTTTTTTTGCCGCAGGGAGTATTTTTTTTCACCATTCTCGTTTTGTTGTGTGTGTTCCGGCAGCTGTCTGCTCATATCTCTCAGGCTCACTAAGAATAAAGTTATGAACAAATATGACTGTCTTGTCGTTTTCAATCAACCTTTATTTATACAGGTAAATCCCATTGAGCCTCGAGGACTCATTTACAAGAGCCAAGAGCCAGTTTTGAGAGCCATGCATGAACCGTGTCGCTTCCCTCTGTGGCTGAGACGATAGATAAACTCCTCCGACACCTCCTCAGTCCTCCGCTGCTGTTTCATACAGAGTGTCATAAAAACAGCAGCGGAGGACTGAGGAGGTGTCGGAGGAGATAATCTATCGTCTCAGCAACAGAGGGAAGCGACACGGTTCATTATGACAAGCCCTCAAATCCACGAATAGACACATTTACGACGCTTCCTCGTGTAATAAAAGACAGATTCCGCTGTAAACTCTGGACGTCACTTTTGCGTTGTTTTAGTTTTATTGATGAGTGTGCTCATTAATCCTGACTTCCTCATTTTGATAAAATAAAAAAACAAATCAGCAAAATTGTTTTTTTATTTTTGTTTTGTAGGTCAAAGTGTTTTATATAACACTGAGTTAAAATGTTGCTGATCAATTTGAATCTATTATTATTTATTGATTATATTTTATTTTTCAGTATCAAATGGTCAAAAATGTTTACAGTTTAAATAAGGATTTAAGTTTTCTTTTTTTCAGGCAAATTGATGAACTTTAATTTGTTTCTGTTACAGACTAAAAAAAAACAATGTTAATAAAGTTATTCTTCGTTGTAAGTTGATCTATATTTTTTCTTTAATGCTAATAAGGACACAATGTTATGCAGACGTGTACTTATAACAATTTTATAGACAAATGATACTATTTACAGTCGCGGCGGAGAGTTGGGGGGGTCATAACAGGAAATAACTGAGAAGCACTGCTTTAAAGTAACTTCTGTTTAGCTTGTAGCTCTGTTTCTTTTAGCCTTTTTACATTAACTACTGTTTCATTAGTTTTAGCTTTTCACTAGCACTCTAGGTTTGTTATTTTTACATTTTTAACCTACAGTCATGGTTTTAGCTTTTAGTTAGTGCTCTGCTTCTTTTATCCTTTACAGTAGCTACTGGTTAGCTTTTAGCTAGTGGTCTGCTTCTTTTAGACTTGACACTAGCTACAGTTTTCCTTGTTTTAACTTTTTGCTATCACCTTGCTTTTTTAGCCTTTACACAAACAGCTGTTTTTGTTGTACAAGCTTTTAGCTAGCATTGTGCTTCTTTAAGCATTCACATTAACTACTGTTTTCTCAAGTTTTAACTTTTGCTAGTGTTCAGCTTCTTTTACCCTTTAAACAAGCTACTGTTTATCTTGTAGCTAGTGTTCCTCTTCTCTTAGCCCTTTTACACTAGCTGCAGTTTCATAGTCAGCATTTAGTTGGTGTTCTGCTTATTTTAGCCTTTACAGTAGCAACTGTTTAGATTTTAGCTAGTGCTTTGCTTCTTTTAGCCTTTACACTAGAATCTTTTTCCATTTTAGCTTTTAGCTTGTGTCCTGCTTTTTTAGCCTTTACATTTGCTACTGGTTTTTAATTTTAGGTTTTAGCTAGTATTCAGCTTCTTTTAGCATGTACACTAGCTAGCGTTTTCATAGCTTTAGCTTTTAGTTAGTGTTCTGCTTCAAGACTGCTCCAGTTTCTTCAACAATCATTCATCACTGTATTTCTACAGAATTTCACTAGATTTTTGATTTGTTTTTGAACATATGAGAGTTTTTCTGTTCAAATGATTAAAATCATTCTAAGCTTTTAATCCAAACTATGGGGAAGTTTTTCGTCATCCAAAGCTCATGTCTATACAGTATTGGGGGCCGAGGTGGGGTAGAGGCAGGACAGCCGACCCGGGACCCGAAAGCCCCAGGCTCGATCCCCAGCCATCCCCACATGTCGTGGTGCCTCTGAGCAAGACACCCAATCCATAATTGCTCCACGGGCACCCACATAGCTACCCACTGCCCCACCTGGGTGCAACCCAGGTGTGATGGGCTAAATGCAGAGAACTAATTTCACCTTTGTATGGGAACATACAATGATGACAACCCATAGCACTTATTATTATTATAATTAAATTGCTCTGTTGTATTTACATACAGGAGAGGCTCACCCGTGATCTCTCCTCCAAACAGGTCATCATAACGATGGTGGAGGTCCTCTGCTCCCACACCATCCTCCAGAAGTCACAGAGGGTCTCTGGCAGAGGCCCTTGGGTGGCGATGTAAGCGTTTTGCTTCCTGTAGCCATCTATGTAGTTAGCATTAATGTAGGTGCTACCTGGAACTCCTGTGGCAAAGAGAAGTAAGAAGGGCAAAGGTCATTTAGCGTGACTTATTTTTGATTAACTAGTTTCAGATGTGGGGCAGCACGGTGGTGCAACTGGTAGAGCTGCTGCCTCTCAGCGAACAGGTCCTTGGTTCAAACCCCGGTCCAGGGGCCTTTCTGGGTGGAGTTTGCATGTTCTCTCCGTGCATGCGTGGGTTTTCTCCGGGTACTTCAGTTTCCTCCCACAGACCAAAAACATGCATGTTAGGCTGATTGGTAGCTCTAAATTGTCCCTAGGTGTGAGTGAGAGAGTGAATGTTTTTTTTGTCTTGTTTGTCTCTATGTGTCCCTGTGGTGGACTTGCGACCCGTCCAGGGTGTACCCCGCCCCTCACACAGTGATTCCTGGACATGGACACTGGCAACCCCCGTGACCCAAAATGGAACAAGCAGGTAAAGATAATGGATGGATGGATGGATAACTTCAGATGTGATTGTGGTTCCTGTTTTGATAAATGTTTAACAGAAGAATAATTCATATGAGATACTTGTAATTATGTTGAAACAAAAGCAATAAGACAACTTCAGAAACAAACTCTGACGGGGTGATAAATTTCTAGTATCCTAGAAGGGCTTTTACACAATAATTATTAGCACAAACTGAAGAAATGGGAACATGCTTGGGAACATTCTTGGGAAGAGGTGACCTAGGATAACGATTTCTTGATTAATTTATCTCTATTGATGGTCCATCTCTGTGAGAACATCTGCTAAGAAAACACACAATTCCAAAGAATGAGGCTTACATTTAGGGCAATTTGTACATTCAAGAGGCCCAGACTACTTATTTATCCCACAGCCACAGTCTCAGTCTATGAATATGTCCCATACATAATCCAAGTTTATGTATATGTCTTTTTCTTCTTCTTTCAGCATTTCACTCTTTATGGGTTGCAACACTGAGTCATCCATCTCCATTTAAATCGGTCCTCTGCATCCTCTGTCCTCACTCCAACTACCTCCATGTCATCTCTGACTGCATCCATATATCTCCTATTTGGCCTTCCTCTTTGTATTTTTCCTGGCTTCTGCATTTCAGAGCCAGAGAGTCAGAGTTTCTGTATTTGTCATTTGCTCCACATGTGGTGGAATGAAATTGTGTACATGGGGTACCAGTTACATCCAACAAAAGTATAAAATAAAAGAAAAACAGTAATAAGATCTACGATATGAACTAAGAAAAACATTAACTAAAAATACGCTAAGTACTAGTAGTACAAAAACAATGTGCCAAACAGCAGCACAAACATGAGTCTGTGTGAGCAGATGAGTACGACTGAACACAGCAGCATGAAACAAATCAAGGATTCAAGGTCCTTTTTTTGTCATTCACACCACATGTGGTACATGTAGTGGAACGAAATTGTATACACAGGGTCCCAGTTACATCCAACAAAAGTATAAATGTTAAACAAAAAAATAACAGTAATAAGATCTAAGTTATGAACAAAAAAATAGTTAACTACATACAATAAGCACTAGTAGCATAAAATAATACACCGAACAGCAGCACAAACATGAGTCTGTGTGAGCAGATGAATACGAATGAACACAGTAACATGAAATAGATCAGCAGCAACATGAAACAGATCAGCAGCAACATGATGTGGGTTTTTTAACAGTGATTATTCTGGTTAGAGATTCATGAGTCTAACAGCCTCAGGGTAGAAGCTGTTCCTCAGTCTAGTGGTTCTACACTTAATGCTCCTTAACTGCTTGCCTGAGGGAAGTGGGGCAAAAAGTGTGTGTGCTGGGTGGGTGGGGTCCTTCATGATGCAGGTGGCCCTCTTCTTGCCTCTGGATGTGTAAATGTCTGTGATGGTGGGGAGGCTGACTCCAACCGTCTTCTGTGCAGCCTTCACCACTCTCTGGCAAAGCTTTTCTTTCTGCAGCTGTGCAGCCTCCATGCCACAAACTGATGCTGGAGCACAGGATGCTCTCCACTGCACACCTGTTGAAAGAGGTGAGGACTGAGTTTCCCAGACCAGCTCCTCTCAGCTGCCTGAGGAAGTAGAGTCTCTGATGAGCTTTCTTGATCAGGCAGGTGGTGTTGTTGCCCCAGCTGAGGTTGTCATTCAGGTGCACACCAACTTGTAGCCGGAAACCACTTCCACCGCAGATCCTCCTATGTTCGAAGGGTGGTGGTTGGGGGGGTATGTGTTTGTTCCATCTGAAGTCCACGACCATCTCCTTCATCTTCTTCATATTATGTGAAGGTTGTTCTTCCTGCACCAGCTCTCCAGTTTTTCCACCTCCTGCCTGTAGCTGGACTCCGTTGTTTGTGATGCATCCTACCATTGCTCTATCGTCTGCAAACTTTACAATGTGACAGTTTGGATGGGTAAGTGCATAGTCATATGTGAGCAAAGTGAAAAGGAGAGGGCTCAGCACACAGCCCTGGGGGGAGCCAGTGCTGAGGATTATGATGGAGGAGGAGAAGTGGATCCTCACAGACTGTGGTTTGTTTTGCTCCTTTTCCATTAGTACCTTTAGTACCAGTACAGCACGGCTGTACTTGACTCGGTACGGTACACGTTGTGTTTCCATTATGCTTTCAGTACCGGTTCTAGTGGGAGAGGTTCAAATTGACATCATGCACCTCACCAGCTGGTGGCGTTGAGATGCTGAAACAGGTTTCAGTACAGGGTGAAAATTTATTTTGAAGTTTCTGATAAATTAAAAATAATACAGATTATTAAAATTATCAAATTAATCTATATATATATATATATATATATATATATATATATATATATATATATATAAGCGGTACGCCACCAACACTATTTATAGTGGAGGTGGTGTGCTGCTGACCTCAACTCAGGATGTCGTGGGTTGGTGGGCAGAATACTTCGAAGACCTCCTCAATCCCACCGGCACGTCTTCCACTGAGGAAGCGGAGCCTGGGGACTTTGGGTCGGGCTCTCCAATCTCTGGTGCTGAGGTCACCAAGGTGGTTAAAAAGCTCCTCGGTGAAGGGGCCCCAGGAGTGGATGAGATTCGCCCAGAGTTCCTTAAGGCTCTGGATGTTGTGGGGTTGTGTTGGCTTACACGACTCTGCAATATTGCGTGGACATCGAGGGCAGTTCCCCTTGATTGGTAGACCGGGGTGGTGGTCCCCCTATTCAAAATGGGGGACGGTAGAGTGTGTTCCAACTACAGGGGGATCATGCTCTTAAGCCTCCCTGGTAAGGTCTATTCAGAAGTTCTGGAGAGGAGGGTCCGTCAGACAGTCGAACCTCGGATTCAGGAGGAGCAGTGCGGTTTTTGTCCTGGTCATGAAACACTGGACCAGCTCTACACCCTCAGCAGGGTCCTGGAGGGTGCGTGGGAGTTTGCCCAACCAGTCTACATGTGCTTTGTGGACTTGGAGAACGTATTCGACCGCATCCCTTGGAGAACCCTGTGGGGGGTACTCCGAAAGTATGGGGTACCAGGCCCTTTGATACGGGCTGTTAGGTCCCTGTATGACCAGTGTCAGAGCTTGGTCCGCATTGCCGACAGTAAGTCGGGCTCGTTCCCAGTGAGAGGTGGGCTCTGCCAAGGTTGCCCTTTGTCACTGATTCTGTTCATAACTTTTATGGACAGAATTTCTAGGCGCAGCAAAGATGCTGAGGGGATCTGTTTTGGTGGTCTTATGATCGCTTCTCTGTTTTTTGCAGATGATGTGGTCCTAATGTGGTCCTAGTCTGTCCCCAGACATCTGTTGAGTGTTGTAAGAAGAAGGGGGGATGCCACACAGTGGTAAAAATGGACTTGTCCCAACGTTTTTGTGATTTGTTGATGCCATGAAATTTGGAAACAAGAGATTTTTCCCTTAAAATGATACATTCTCTCAGTTTAAACATTTGATCTGTGATTTGTGTTCTATTCTGAATAAAATATTAGATGTTGGCACCTCCACATCAATGCATTCAGTTTTTATTCACAATTTGTTTAGTGTCCCAACTTTTTTGGAATCCGGTTTGTACAAAAAAAGTATGTAGTATCTTTTTTAACCACTTGATGACAGTATACGTCAGTTTGAATGGATGGATGGATATGTGTGTGTGTGTGAGTGTGTGTGTGTGTGTGTGTGTGTGTGTGTGTGTATATATATATATATATATATACATATACATATATAGCGCCCCCTGTGGCAAAACTCCACCAGCCGCCTCTGCATCCATCCATTATCTTTTACCCGCTTCTTCCATTTTGGGTCACGTGGGTCGCCGGTGTCCATGTCCAGCAATCACTGTGCAAGGGGCGAGATAAACCCTGGACAGGTCTCCAGTCCATCACAGGGACACTTGGAGACAAACGAGACAAATAACCATTCACTCTCTCACTCACACCTAGGGACAATTTAGAGTTACCAATCAGCCTAACATGCATGTTTTTGGTCTGTGGGGGGAAACTGGAGTACCCGGAGAAAACCCATGCATGCATGGACAGAACATACAAACTCCACTCAGACAGGCCCCCGAACTGGGATTTGAACCAGGGTAACCTGCTCGCTGAGAGGCAGCAGCTCTACCAGTTGCACCACCGTGCGGCCCTTCTTTAAACATATTTGAGGGAAATATTCCTGAGAGAGCCAATAATTTAGTCTTTTTATGAATTTTCAGGTGAGTTAACTTTAGCAGATTATTTAATAGTCATTAAAATAACAACAGGATTTCATGATAAAGCCGGCACCATTTATTTGTTTTTTTAATCTTCACTGATAAAAAAAAACTCACATTACATAAAATGTTTTAAAAAATCGTTTCCACCCTCCGTGTGCCAGACCCGTCTGCCGGGATCGGGGTTCGGCCTTTGTTTGCACGCAACGCCGGGGTCCGGGCAACAGCCTTCTGCGATTCAGCTCGTATGATCCTCCATGGTGACCAGCAGAGCTCGGAGCCCGCAGAGCACGCAAGGCCGGGATACCAAGCCCCGAGTCAGGATTAGACCACGGTGTTGTCATTATTGTTTTAA